GAGGAGGAGGAGGAGGAGGAGGAGGAGGTGGAGGAGGAGGAGGGAGACACAGGAGGAGGAGGGGAGGAGGAGGAGGAGCAGGAGGAGCAGGAGGAGGAGGAGGAGGAGGAAGATTGTTGTGATGGTGATGGTGAAGGTGACCATGAACATGATGATGACGATGAAGATGACGGAGATGAGGATGACAATCATGACGATAATTATGACCCTAGCTAGAACTTGAGCGCGCGCGAAGCGCGCGATCGTTTAGTTTCTATTATACTTGATGACTTGCTCATTTACTTGTTGACTTACTCACTTACTCACTTACTTCCTTACCTACCTATTGCTGTGTTTATTTCCTGTACGTGTGTAAACGATGCTTGCATGTGTATATAGATATGGTTTCTTATATATATATATATAGAGATATGAATATGTATAGTGATACACATAACTATATACAGAAAGAGAGAGAGAGAGAGAGAAAGAGAGAGAGAGAGAGAGAGATAGAGAGAGTGAAACTGATCCCGGCAAAGCAACCTAACAGCGATGTGTAGGAGCATATCTGGAAGCATTCCCCTTAAGATTCAGATGAGAATCCAGTTGTAGAATTCTGTTGTTCTCGCAGTCGTAGTCGCATTCGCGATGACAGTCGCAGTGGCAACGGCAGTCGCAGTCACAGCCTCAGCCTCAGCCTGCCTCAGCCTCAGCCTCAGCCTGCCTCAGCCTCAGCCTGCCACAGCCTCAGCCTCAGCCTGCTTCAGCCTCAGCCTCAGTCTGCCTTCAGCCTCGGCCTCAGCCTCAGCCTGCCTCAGCCTCAGCCTGCATCAGCCTCAGCCTCAGCCTCAGCCTGCCTCAGCATCAGCCTGCCTCAGCCTCAGCCTCAGCCTCAGCCTGCCTCAGCCTCAGCCTCAGCCTCAGCCTGCAGCATCAGCCTGCCTCAGCATTCAAAATGTAGCCCGGGAATGGAAATCTGGGAACTCGAAGAACACCGAAGTGGCCTACAGTTGGCTCTGGCATTCAAGTCATGCCCAGGAATGGAGTTCTGGGGAAATCGAAGAGCAACGAAGTGCCCTACAAGGTGGCTCCGGGGCATCAAAATGTGGGGCCAGGGAATGGTTGGTCTGGGAAGTCGAAAGAGCACGAAGTGGCCTACAGGGCTCCGGCATCCAAAATTATAGTGGCCCAGGAATGGAAGGTCTGGGAAGTCGAAGAGCACGAAGTGGCTACAGTGGCTATCCCTCTTCGTTGACTGGTAGGGGAATGGAGTTCTGGGAAGTCGAAGAGCACGAAGTGGCCTACAGTTGGCTCCGGGCATTCAGAATGTGGCCCGGGAATGGAGTTCTGGGAGGTCGAAGAGCACGAAGTGTGTGACTGTTCGCGAAAAACGAGTTTGGACACGAGTTCGGACACAGCTCCCCGGATGCCGCCCAGACCCCCTTGTGGAGTCATCTGCTGCTCTCTTTTGAGACCACTAGAAACCTATCAGTCTTCGCTGTTAGGTAAAAACAACTCGAGAGAGAGAGAGGGGGAGAGGGGAGAGGGGAGAGGGAAGAAAGAGAGAGAGAGAGAGAGACAGAGACAGAGAGAAGGGGGTGGGTAGAGAGAAGTGAGAGAGAGAGAGAGAAAAATAGAAAGAAATAAATAAATCACAAAAACAAAGAGAGAGAGGATATATATATATATATAGAGAGATACAGAGAGCGAGACAGAGAGAGGGACATAGAGAAAGAGAGACAGAGAGAGATAGGGAATCTATAGATTATCCCGGCAAAGCAACCTAACAGCGATGTGTAGAAGCATATATGGAAACATTCCCCTTAAGATCCAGATGAGAATCCAGTTGTAGAATTATCCTGTTCTCGCAGTCGCAGTCGCATTCGCGATGACAGTCGCAGTGGCAACGGCAGTCACAGTCACAGCCTCAGCCTGCCTCAGTATCAGCCTGCCTCAGCCTCAGCCTCAGCCTGCCTCAGCCTCAGCCTCAGCCTGCTTCAGCCTCAGCCTCAGTCTGCCTTCAGCCTCGGCCTCAGCCTCAGCCTGCCTCAGCCTCAGCCAGCATCAGCCTCAGCCTCAGCCTCAGCCTGCCTCAGCATCAGCCTGCCTCAGCCTCAGCCTCAGCCTGCCTCAGCCTCAGCCTCAGCCTGCTTCAGCCTCAGCCTCAGTCTGCCTTCAGCCTCGGCCTCAGCCTCAGCCTGCCTAAGCCTCAGCCTGCATCAGCCTGAGCCTCAGCCTCAGCCTGCCTCAGCATCAGCCTGCCTCAGCCTCAGCCTGCCTCTGCCTCAGCCTCAGCCTGCTTCAGCCTCAGCCTCAGTCTGCCTTCAGCCTCGGCCTCAGCCTCAGCCTGACTCAGCCTCAGCCTGCCTCAGCCTCAGCCTCAGCCTGCTTCAGCCTCAGCATCAGTCTGCCTTCAGCCTCGGCCTCAGCCTCAGCCTGCCTCAGCCTCAGCCTGCATCAGCCTCAGCCTCAGCCTCAGCCTGCCTCAGCATCAGCCTGCCTCAGCCTCAGCCTCAGCCTGCCTCAGCCTCAGCCTCAGCCTGCTTCAGCCTCAGCCTCAGCCTGCCTTCAGCCTCAGCCTCAGCCTCAGCCTCAGCCTGCCTCAGCCTCAGCCTGCATCAGCCTCAGCCTCAGCCTCAGCCTCAGCCTGCCTCATGTATTCAGCTTGCCTAAGCCCAGCCTCAGCCTGCCTCGGCTCAGCTCAGGCCTGCAGCCTGCTTCAGGGCCTCAGCCTCAGTTCTGCCCTCAGCCTTCAACCGTAAGCCTCAGCCTCAGCCTCAGCCTGCTCAGGCAACAGCCTGCCTCAGCCTCAGCCTCAGCCTGCCTCAGCCTCAGCCTGCCTCAGCCTCAGCCTCAGCCTGCTTCAGCCTCAGCATCAGTCTGCCTTCAGCCTCGGCCTCAGGCTCAGCCTGCCTCAGCCTCAGCCTGCCTCAGCCTCAGCCTCAGCCTCAGCCTGCCTCAGCAGCAGCCTGCCTCAGCCTCAGTTGGCTCCGGGCATTCAAAATGTGGCCCGGGAATGGAGTTCTGGGAACTCGAAGAGAACGAAGTGGCTTACGGTTGGCTCTGGGCATTCAAACTGTGGCCTGGGAATGAAGTTCTGGGAGCTCGAAGAGCACGAAGTGGCTTACAGTTGTCTCCGGGCATTCAAAATGTGGCTGGGAACTCGAAGAGCACGAAGTGGCCTACAGTTGGCTCCGGGCATTCAACATGTGGCCCGGGAATTTGTGGGTTTCTGGAAGTTCGAAGAGGCACGAAGTGGCCTACAGTTGGCTCCGGGCATTCAAAACTGTGGCCGGGAATGGTGTTCTTGGGAAGTCGAAGAGCCACGAAGTGGCTTACGGGTGGCTCCCGGGCATTTCAAAAAATGTGCCCGGGAATGGGTTGGGGAAGTTCGAATTTCTCTGCACGAAGTGGCCTACAGTTGGCTCCGGGCATTCAAAATGTGGCCCGGGAATGAGTTCTGGGAAGTCGAAGAGCACGAAGTGGCCTACAGTTGGCTCCGGGCATTCAGAATGTGGCCCGGGAATGGAGTTCTGGGAGGTCGAAGAGCACAAAGTGTGTGACTGTTTGCGAAAAGCGCATTCGGACACGAGTTCGGACACAGCTCCCCGGATGCCGCCCCGACCCCCCTGTGGAGTCATCTGCTGCTCTCTTTTGAGCCTACTAGACACCTATCAGCAAACGCTGTTAGGTAAAACAGAGAGAGAGAGAGAGAGAGAGGGAGGGAGAGAAGGAGGGAGAGAAGGGGTAAGAGCGCAACAACATGCGCTCGGGAGGGCGATGGGGAAGATAGACAAATAGGAGTAGGGGCAGAGAGAACGGAGAGTAAAGTATGCACGAAAATCGCGAACCACCGATGTGAAATCAATGGGTGTTGGGAGGGGGGCTGCGCTATATGGACATATCTGATCCGGGGTCGAGGGTTCACAGCCGCCCCCCCCTCCCCCCCAAATGGGATGGGAGGGATGACGACGACGACAATCACGACGACGACGACGCCGACGCCGACGACAACGACGACGACGACGTCGACGCCGACGACGACGACGATGACGATGGAGACGCTGACGCCGACGCCGACGCCGACGACGATGCCGACGCCGACGCCGACGGAAGAAGATGATGACGACGACGGAAGACGACGCCGACGACGACGACGACGACGACGAGGACGACGACGCCGACGACGACAACGACGACGACGCCGACGCCGACGACGACGGTGACGACGGAGACGCCGACGCCGACTCCGACGACGACGCCGACGCCGACGGAAGACGACGACGACGACGACGACGACGAGGACGATGACGACAACGACGACGACGCCGACGACGGCGCAGACGCCCACGTCGACGCCGACGCCGACGATGACGCCGACGCCGACGCCGACGGAAGACGACGACGACGACGGAAGACGACGACGACGACGACGACGGCGACGACGCCGACGACGACGACGACGGCGACGACGGCGACGGCGGCGGCGGCGAAGACGGCGACGACAACGAACCACCCCACACCCACAGGGTGGAGGGGGAGCACCGGTGCCTTCCACCACGCCACGCTGACAGGGCCACGACCATAGGGAGGGGGAGATTTCCCATTCGCGAGGCCTTCGCGAGGCTCACGGGAGTACCCATTCAGCGGGGGGGGGACTCGATCCAATATGCATTGGTGCGGCGGGGGGGAAGTGCAACCCACCTTGGATCATATGTATATATATATATATATATTTCGCCACCCGTCGCTCTTTCGAAGGGGTTCGACCGCGGGTCCTTTCCAGCTGCTCTTAGTTATCCCACTTGGCTTGAGCTGTCAGCTCTTGGGAGCTTCCACCGGGTGGGCTCTACTGGGAGTTTTCAGCAAACTTGAGCTCCTCGTTCCTCCGTCTTTTTCTCTCCCCCCCTCCTACTTCCTCCCTCCTCCCCGCTGCTCCCTTTTTTCCTCCAGCTCTCCTTCCTCCCTCCCTCCCTTGCTCTTCATTCTCACTTTTCTCCTGGCGGTCTCCGGGCATTCAGGTCAAGCCTGACACGGACAGCTCAACAGCATGCCGCGCAGGCGGTAGATGCTGGCACCGTTCCGAGTGGTGCGAGCAGTCTCGGCGGGGGGACGGGAGGAGGAAGGACAAGGATCGGGAAGAGGAAGATGAAGAGGACTTGTAGCAGGAGGAGGAAGAGGAGGATGAGGTGAGGATGCTGGAGGAAGAAGGAGCAGAAGGGGAGGACGAGTAAGAACATCGAATAAAAACAGGAGCCCGGCTCGACCCAAATTAGTGACTCACGATCACCAGACACCGCCAATATTCAATTATTCAAATGAATTTGGGTGTCTGGACTTTTCGTAGGCTGCGCAGACGCGTTGGCGCGCTCGACGTCGACGCGCACGCGCGCGATTGTCGAGCTCGTGTGACTTGCGTGCCGGTGCGCTGTCACCGGCACGGCAGGGTAGTGCATTTCCCTCGCTCCAAGTTGATCGCGGAGGGAAATCATGACACGTTTTTGTTTGGGGCGGCGCTCCCCACATCTGAAATTCAGATTGCCCCTGACTGAAATTCAGATTGCCCCTGTCTGAAATTTAGATTCCCCCCCCCGTGGACTCGGGTGAGGCGTTCTGCCTGAGAGACTTCTGCACATAATTTGTCCTGATTGGCTCGGTCTGACATTCAGATTGGCCCGGTCTCAGATTCAGATTGGCCTGGTCTGAATTTCAGATTGCCTTGGTCTGAATTTCAGATGTGGTGGCTCCGCGTCGAAGAATTATTCGGTCTGGTGCCGTTGCCCTCGGGACGAACGTGGTCGACGTTTGCTTTCCTGAGTGGTTGCGACATGGAGCATGAGAGTGCTCTTGAACTTCTGTTACGGTAGCTGGCGCTCGAAGCCCCGATGTTCTCTGGGACGTGGCTCGCCTTGCAGATGCGAAAAAATGAGAAGTCGATTTTTCATGGTTGGGTGTGTCTTGTGATGACCACGTCATCCAAAGCAGTTCAATATATGTTCACAGCACTTCAGAAAAATGCAAAACAATGCCTGGCGTTGCTGGGCATTTCTCTGCATTGTTTTGCATTGCTTTGCGTCGCTTTGCATTACTTGGCATTGCGTAGGAAGCCAAGTGAGGAGCCCCAGGAAGTCGAGCAATGCTTAGAAGAACCCAAGACGAAGGAACATAGCAACACCGAGCGCCCCCTCTGACAGGAGCCGCCGCGCCCACAGTCTTCTTCGCGAAATAAGAAGGACACCCTCAAGGAAAGCCCACTTGGGGAACAAAGAGAAATCGAAGTGTCATGCAAGGGTGTGGTTCTAGCACGCCTGTTCCGAATCAGCTGAGGCAAGAGACCGGTGCCGGGTGGCAGGGAGCGCTGGTTGGACAGTCTTGGGATCCATGTCGTTACCTAGGCGACACCAACGCCGTTCGTCGCTTGCCATGCTTTTCGACCTTCGCCGCCGTTTTCGTTCGGAGTGTGCGTTGGTGCGTGGTTCTGCTCATAGGCGTGCGCTGCAATTCTCATACGGTGTGCTGGCGGCAAATGATACCGTGCGCCTTTTTGAGCATTCTTTGTAACACCTTCGTGGGAACGCGCTACTGATCACCATCACAGAACGTTTGTCAATATTCATGACCGCTGGCGATCGGTCTGTCTCAGAGCACGCGCAGATCTCGGGAGCCTGCGATACAGAACATGTATGCTGGGCGGCCTACTATCAACCGAATTGCATACTACCACATTTCCTCACACGCAAGGCATTCCCCGATGTCTTCAGATATTTCATTTGCTTGTGTTGTCTTCGCACCTCGCGTGCTGAACCTTCAGGAAGCGTGAACACCGCTGTGACTTCTGCCAACAAGAGCACCGTAGTGCTGATGAAAGTGTTTATCTCCGTGTCTTGCATCATGAAGTCTACGCTGTTGCGCAGTTACTTCCAGTATTTGCGCATTCCACAATGACTTATAATGTCTGCAGCGTGCCACACAAAGATCATGTATTTGTTCCCAACCATCCTGTGGTGTTGGGTCCTCGTTTTGAGGAGACAGCGCCCCGCGTTCCTTCCTTCCCGCTGCCCCCATCCTCTCATCGTCATCATCAGTATCATCAGCATCATCATTGTTAGCAGCATCGCCAACAATTTCGTCATCGTCAACAGCATCATCGTCATCATCATCGCCATCGCCATCATCATCCTGCGGTGTTGGGTCCTCGTTTTGAAGAGACAGCGCCCCGCGCCGCCTCCTCCTCTCCTCTCCTCTCCTCTCCTCTCCTCTCCGTTCCTCTCCTCTCCGCCTCCTCCCCCTCCTCCCTCCTCCCATCCGCCTCGTCACCTCCCTGTGTTTTTTTTTGCGTGGCCCCATAGGGAGCTCCACCGAAGTTTCCAGTGGCACAGACCGCATGCGTCAATGCCACCTAGGACAGCGCTTCGTGTCCCCACAGGGCGCTCCGCCGAAGGCTCCAGTTGCACAGGCCACATGCGTCAACGCCACCCAGGACAGCGTTTCGTGGCCCCATAGGGAGCCCACCGAAGGCTCCAGTGGCACAGGCCGCATGCGTCACCGCCACCCAGGACAGCGCTTCTTGGCCCCATAGGGAGCTCCACCGAAGGCTCCAGTGGCACAGGCCGCATGCGTCAACGCCATCTAGGACAGCGCTTCGTGGCCCCATAAGGAGCTCCACCGAAGGCTCCAGTGGCACAGGCTGCATGCGTCAACGCCACCCAGGACTACGCTTCGTGGCCCCATAGGGAGCTCCAACGAACTCTCCAGTGGCACAGACCGCATGCGTCAACGCTACCCAGGACAGCGCTTCGTGGCCCCAGAGGGAGCTCCACCGAAGGCTCCAATGGCACAGGCCGCATGCGTCAGCGCCACCCAGGACAGCGCTTCGTGGCCCCATAGGGAGCTCCACCGAAGGCTACAGTGGTACAGGCCGCGTGCGTCAGCGCCACCCAGGACAGCGCTCCGTGGCTCCATAGGGAGTTCCACCGAAGGCTCCAATGGCACAGGCCGCATGCGTCAACACCACCCATGACAGCGTTTCGTGGCCCCATAGGGAGCTCCACCGAAGTCAATACCCACAATGCGGTATTCGCACTTGTATCTGGTTGGGTCCTTCGTCAGGCGAATGTCTCTTGTGCCCGCGGAGCAGAGTTTTGTTCCCAGTTGGTCTTGTGAGTTTCATGCAGGCGGCCACGGAGACGCACTGGAGCAGAGGAAAATAGCGGAGCCCATCGCTTACACCAACAAGTACGCGCTCTCTTCCTGGTGGCAATTGACGAGCTGGGCTGGCAAGCTTGTGCTCACGCGCCATGGCGACTGGACAAGATCGCTAAGACCGTGACGAAGCATGCCAACTGAACGAGCGACCAGCTCAACTCGTCCATCGAAGGCCAGTCCCGCATGAACGAGTGGTCCCTCGGGCTGCTCGCTAACCTGCAGGGCAGGTACGGGGACCTTAGCTGCAGGGTGCACATCACCGCGCAGGCTCTTAAACGTGCAAGTTTAAGAGCAAGAGTAAAGACTCGTGCGCGGTCCAGTGCGACAGAATTTGGCTGGGCGACATTAGCATCGTGGTATCACATCCAATTACGTATGCGCTTTCTCCACCCCAGAATCTTACAATTCCAGCTCTGCATATCAAATTGCCTACTGGATGCTCGCTCTCGCGCCAGCGCATGCTAACGGAGAGCGGCTCACGATCTGACATAATGCAGCAGGTTGTTTGCAAACATGCGTCAAGCGTGTTCCGCCTTCGACCTCCCCTGGCCCCTCCTCATTATCTTTTCCCCTCTCCCCATCCCCTTCCCCTGCCACTCTCCCTCCCCTACCTCTTCCTCCCCCGCTTCTGCAATTAGACAGGCGTTCTCTTTATTCGTGGAACCTCGCAAGTCGCTTTGTTTATTTGGATTCTGGCCTATTTCACCGCGGTGCTGCTTGTCACGGCCTTCATCTTCATTGCATTTCTGGGGCATGTGCGAATTCCAGTTTGCTTTAAGCATGCAGCGCAGCGGTCGTGTTCAAAAGTCCGCTTCTAGCATTCAACAATATTGAATACTACCCTTCCTCCTCCCCTGAAGATGTCCGGACGATCTTCAGCCCCCTCCGCGTGCTGTTTCTCGTGCACGGGATTTCATTCCCCAGCCAGGCTTGCCTAAGGATTCTTGTTTGATTAAAAGTTGGTGCTTCGGGGGGCTACTTTGCCCGTTGCTCGGAGGTTCCTCGGGATCCTCGGGTTCCTCGGCCTCGGTGCCTCCGATTCTTACGTTGCCCGTTGCTCGGAGGTTCCCCTGGTTCTTTGGGTTCCCTGGGTTCCTCGGGTTCCCTGGGTTCCTCGGGTTCCCCGGGTTCCTCGGGTTCCTCGGGTTCCTCGGGTTCCTGAGTTTCCTCGGGTTACTCGGGTTCCTCGGGTTCCCCAGGTTCCTCGGGTTCCTCGGGTCCCTCGGGTTCTCTGGGTTCCTCGGGTTCCCAGGGTTCATCGGGTTCCTCGGGTTTCCCAGCTTCCCCGAGCAATGCCAAGCAATGCCAAGCAATGCCCCCAGCAATGCCAAACAATCCCAAGCAATCCCAAGCACTGCCAAGCAATGCCAAGCTTGGAGCCAGGTTCATGTTTTAATGGCCTTGTGCAATCCAAGTGTTTTCGGTGCTTCACAATAGTGCTCCCGCTGCAGCATGGGCTTCATTTTCGGATCGGCGCGTTGCTCCCGTCGTTCAGAATGGCGCTCTCGCCCCAGCGCGGGCCACTTTTCTGGATCCAAGTCTTTCTTCACGGTGGTCCCCCCATCATTTCCACTCCTCCGCCTTCCCCTGGTCCTCATGTTCCTCCCGTTCCTTCATTCCAGTTCCTGCTGCTGCTGATCGTCTCGCCCCAGCGCGAGCGACTTCTCTGAACCCGAGTCTTTCTTCATCGTTGCCGCCCTTCTCATTTCTCCTCCTCCGCCTTTCCCCGGTCCTCCTTTCCCTCCCGATCCTTCCGCTTTTTTTATCATCCTCCTGCTCACCCGCCACCACCTCCTCCAATGCACGCAGCTCCCTGTTTCCCTATTGCGCATAACACGAAGTGGTTTTTCTGTGTGAGTCGCAGGTCGGCTATGGCATGCGACCGCGGATGGAGAACAATCAGCGCCATGGAAAGGGATGGGAGGGAGAGATAAGATATCAGATGAGGCGCGAACGCACCTAGCTTGCCCTCCCCCACCTCTCCCTCTCCCGCCTTCCCCTCACCCAGTTGCGCAAAACGAATACTACTCTCATCTCTGCCCTGACTCTGCTTGGCGAGATGTTCGGTCGTCTCCACGTTATGCTGTTACATACACGGTTTCACACATGTGAAAGCACAACAACAACATCTGAACGTATGGTGCGTTCGCTGCAGCGCTAGCCTCGTTTCAGGGTCGGTGCTTTGCTCCCGTCGTTCAGAATGGCGCTCTCGCCCCAGCGCGGGCCACTTTCCTAAATCAGAGTGCTTCCTCGTCATTGTCGCCCCCTTCCTTCCCCCGCCCCCGCCTTCCCCTGGTCCTCGTGCTCCCCCCACTCCTTCTGCTCCTGCTGCTGCAGTTCCTCTTCGTCCTCCTCCCTCCTCATCCTACTCCTCATCCTTCTCTTCCTCCTGCTCATTCTCGTGTTCCTCCTCCAGTTCGTCCGCCACCTTCTCCTCCAATGCACACAGCTCCCATCATGTAGCGCACGACACGATGGGGGTCTTGTGGTGGGTTCCAGGCCCGCTATGACACCCATCGGCGGATAGAGAGGAGAGACCATGGCAAGGGGAAGGGATGGGAGGGAGGGGTAGGATGTCAGGTCCGGCGCGGGCGCACCTGGCTTGCCTTCCCTCTCCTCCTCCCCCCCTTCCCCTCCCCTTCCCCCCCTGCCACCCCCTCCGTCTCGCCCTCCCCTGGCTCCACTCTCCCGTTCCTCCTCTATCTTCTCCCGCCTCCGCTCCTCTCTGTTCTCTTGCCGTGCCTGCCCTGGACCTCAATTGCCTCTCACGTCGGCGTCCTCACGGCTACATTCGCAGTCCCGCCTCCCATCCTCATCTTGCCCTGTGTAGTGCGCATCCTTCATTGCCTACGTCACGGCTCGTGACTTGAGCCTCCACCCCCCTGTGGTTCGGGGAGGCGCGCTGAACAGCGCGATCGCATCGCTCAACCGCAGGTTGGCTGGTGGAGCTGGAGCTTCCTCGTCAGGCCTTGATGAGGGGGATATGAAGTAGGGCCCCGAAATCTGTACATATCCACCGCCGCTGCCCAGGCCCATCCTGGGCCCACAATGTATATCTATATCTGTACACATCTATATATATATACAATATGTGTATAGGTGCCTCCCTGCCCAAGCAAGATGCAATATACTCAGCAGAGCTATGCCACGACGCTGAATGTGGGGCGTAGGGCGTACATGCCGCTCGTGGGCCCAGGATTGGCCTGGCCGGGGGCGGTGGGTATGTGTAGATCTCGTCGCCTCGCCAAGGAGAGACAGAATGATGAGACGTGGGACCAATACAAGGCGGACCATAGGCAGCATGTAGAACACGCACTGCACGTTTAGTAATTAGGCGTCTTGTTGCGGGGTCGCATGTTCTGGGTGGTATTTGGGGAGTGGCCCCCGCCTGCTGCTCTCGAAAGAAGTGTACTTCGTATTGCTGAAGTCAGAAGCGCCCGCTCCTAGGACCAGCGCGTGATCAGGGTGGTCCCCCGATTCAAACCAAGTGTCGGCGCGCCATATACACTCGCATCCATGTTCAAGTACAGCGTTGTTTCAAGTAAGCTGCAATAGTACTATTTGCGCATGGACTCAAACAACTGATAGGGCCGATGGGCAAACTGAGGCCAGGACCCCTTTGGAAGGATCTTATGATCAACCTTTGACTGACAGTCAGGGCAGTCAGGCCAGGACTCCATGGGTGATTACCGTAACTTGAACACCCAGGGTAACTCAGGCTGGTCACGCGGCTTTGCGCCAGTTCGAGCCGAGTTGGCGCAAAGAGAAAGGGGGCGAAGGAGGAGGAGGAGGAGGATCGTCAGAAAGGTGAGGATGAGGGAGAATGAGGAGGAGGGAGGAGGAGGACGGGGGTGGAGGAGGAGAGGGATGAGGAGGAGCATAAGAGATTGGAAGAGGATCATAGAGAGGGAGAGGATAAGAGAGAAGAGGGGGATGAGGAGGCGGGGGGAGGAGAAGAGAGGAGAGAGGGAGGGATAGGGAGATGGAGAGGAAGAGGGAGAGAGACCGAGAGAGAGAGAGAGAGGGATGGCGGATAAGAGAGAGAGAGAGAGAGAGAGCGAGAGAGGAGTAGGATAAGGGAGAATATTAGGCTAAGAGAAAAGAGTGAGAGGAGAAGGAGGAGGAGGAGCTTTCACTCAGGGGCAGAAGGCACACCGAGCTGGTCGACGGGTCCGATGGCCCCTGGCCGCTGTAGCCAGGGGCCCGACAAAAAGGCTCATTGATTTCTGGTGAGCCCTGAGGGCCTCAAAACAAGGGACGCCTTCAAAGGGAGCTCCCGATTCAGGATCTACCCCCAACAGGCGTCGGCGTCGCACAGTGTACCTCTTGCCGCCTCTTGGGCGGTCCTCACGCCGAGCTCTAGCCTCTGGTGCCGAGGCCGGAGGGCAGGCATCTTGGGAATCCACTGAAGCACAGCAGCGGCCCTCCCCTTCCGATGCCTACGACGCTCTGGAGATGACGGATCAAACGACGGGTGGATCGACAGGGCCGCTGTCGCTGAATGCTCACACCTGCTGGTTGGTTAAGAGAGGAAGGCGGTCGGCTTCTCTGATCTTCGCCTCGTCGTAGTGGATCTTGACCTTGATGACTGCCTTCAAAAGTTTGCTACCGTCACTGCCTAGTGCTGTTCTGAAAGTGCCAGAGCGCATGTGCTTATAGGAGAGCCTAGAAGACAATGGCTTGTGGTAGCCAGCAACCACCGCTTTGTAATCCACATCGGCTCGAGACTCTTCTGACAACGTCTGCTGCAACACACATAATCTTAGATGTTCTTCCACTTGTGGCGTCTGGGGGAGCGGGAAAACCGTGCAAAGCCAAACAATGCCCAGCAATGCCAAGCAATGCAAATCAATGCCAAGCAATGCCAAGCTATGCCAAGCAATGCCAAGCAACTATTCAAAGCAATGCCAAGCAGCGCCGCGCATGCATTTCCAAGCAAGGCCAAGCAATGCTTTGCTGTGCATTGCTCAGATCTGCTTTGAATTTCTTTGGGGAAGACAGAAAGGTGTCGCGACTGGGTCTTGATAAGAGACTGGGATGGCGAAGGTGGAGGAGGAGCTGGATGAGGAGGTGCAGGAGGAGGTGGAGACGGAGGTGGAGGAGGAGGATGACGAGGAGGAGGAGGGGAAGCCGAGAAGTATTGGGAGAAGTGAGAGAGAGATGGGGGAGGGAGAGGCAAAATTGAGAAATGGGGACAAGATGAGGAAAGGTGAAGGACAGAGAGATGGGGGAGCAGACGAATCAGGGGGGGGCCAGAGGAAGCGAAGGACGACAGGGAGGCACAGCGACAGGGCACGCTGGCGCCTCCTGGCCAACACCCGTGTTCTTCCCATTCGGAGAACGGGCGCGCACCCGAATCCGGCGGTTACTCCAGCGACTCTGGGTTGCCCATTTGGCTTTGATGGACTTGATGTGCGGTCTCATGCCAGCTCACCACATCATGGCCTCCTTGCTGAGTTCCCTTCAAGTTCCCCCAAACAGTTGGAGCGCGGCCTGGGGATGGGGAGGGGACGTATGACAAAAAAGGGCAACGGAGGCCGCCGGAATCGATTTTCCGTTTGCCCCAGCCTTCATCAGGCTGCACTCCAATGTATCATGCCGCCCCACATTATGATATCCATCTTAGTTGATGTGTCGCATGCTTTTCCAGCATTTTTTGCGGTGGACTGGGCTGGTCGGAGGACGCCAAACGAATCGTGGACATCATGAACAAAGATAGCTCGAGCAAGTTGAAAGTAAGTCGCAAAATGCTACCATATTGTAGCGCCGCCTGGGATGGGATAGGTAGCGCAATTTCCTTTTTCACATCAAAGAAGAAATCGGCCTGCCAGCAGGTGCCCCACGGAAATGTCTTATCCCACGATGGCCGCAAGTACCCACAGTAACCATGAGGTACCCTAGGACCCTCAAATATCGACGACCAATGTGCCCAAGTATGTCTTATGCCGCGATTCCTCATCGTATGTCTCTACTGTATGTCCAGCAAGCCTTTAGGGCCGACGTTTGTACGTTTGACGTGCTTCCTCTCCCACCCCATGTTGTGCCTCGATGTCACACGCTGCGCTCCTAGAGGGGATGGAGGAGGGGGTTGGGCCAAGCTAGGTGCGCTCGCGTCATATCTGACGTCCTACCTCTCCGTCCCATCACTTACCATGGCGCAGATCTCCCTATTCGCACAATCGGACGTCGTAGCATGGCATAGCATTACATGGCATAGCATGGTGTTGAAGATTAACGCGTAGCATGACATATAATGGCGTGGCGACGGTCCAGAATGAGGGGACAGGGGCTTCTGCGGCCCAACAAATCAAAGTAATCGACACCGAATGTGTAATCACTTCCGATGGCTTCTTCGGGAGGCCATTTCTCAAATTTTGGAGCCTATTTGGAAGGACCGACAATCATGCCGTGGGCATGGCACTGGAAATAATGACGACAGCGCTGCAGCGGGAGCACGATTCGGAATGAGTGGAAGTGCGGAAATGAGGCCAGCGCTGCAGCGGCAGCATGATTCGGAACGAGCGGTCGCTCGAAAATGAGGCCAGCGCTGAAGCGAGAGGAACAAAAAAAAAAGAAAAAATCAAGCGCGGCACCGCGCGGAAATGAGGACGCGTAGCCTGACATAGCATGTCGTGGCGACGCCTCAAAGTCGGGGGGCTTCTGCGGCGCAAACAATAAACGAATCGACACCGAAGGAGTAATCACTTCCGATGGTTTTTCCCGGCGGAGCCAGGTGAAATTCCGTGCCCGCCGGCTGACTGATGACTGACTGAACGTCAGGGGACAGCTCGGGAGACACATTTCAAACCGCCCGCGGGAGCGCAACCTGGCGGCGCAACCGCAACCGCGACCGGGCGACACATTTCAAAGCGCCCGCGGGAGCGCGCAACCGCAACCGCAAGCGCAACCGGGCGACACATTTCAAAGCGCCCGCGGGCGCGCAACCGCAACCGCAACCGGGCGACCACCAATTTCAAAGCGCGACCGCGGAGAGCGGCGCAAACGCAACACGCAAACCCATGCGCGCGGGCGACACATTTTAAAGCGCCCGCGGGAGCGCGCAACCGCAACCGCAACCGCAACCGGGCGACGCATTTCAAAGCGCCCGCGGGAGCGCGCAACCGCAGCCGCAACCGCAACCGGGCGACGCATTTCAAAGCGCCCGCGGGCGCGCAACCGCAACCGCCAATGGCTACAACATTTCAAAGCGCCCGCGGGAGCGCGCAACCGGCAACCCACCCGCAACCGGGCGACCATTTTCAAAGCGCCCGCGGGCGCGCAAACCGAACAACCCACCGGGAATGGACACATTTCAAAGCGCCCGCGGGAGCGCGCAACCGCAACCGCAAGCGCAACCGGGCGACACATTTCAAAGCGCCCGCGGGCGCGCAACCGCAACCGCAACCGCAACCAGGCGGCGCATTTCAAAACGCCCGCGGGAGCGCGCAACCGCAACCGCAACCGCAACCGGGCGACGCATTTCAAAACGCCCGCGGGAGCGCGCAACCGCAACCGCAACCGGGCGACGCATTTCAAAGCGCCCGCGGGAGCGCGCAACCGCAACCGCAACCGCAACCGGGCGACGAATTTCAAACCGCCCGCGGGAACGCGCAACCGCAACCGCAACCGGGCGACACATTTCAAAGCGCCCGCGGGCGCGCGCAACCGCAACCGCAACCGCAACCGGGCGACACATTTCAAAGCGGCCGCGGGCGCGCAACCGCAACCGCAACCGGGCGACACATTTCAAAGCGCCCGCGGGAGCGCGCAACCGCAACCCCGCAGGCATCCGCGTTACTGGACATTTCCAAAGCGCCCGCGCGCGCGCAACCGCAACCGCAACGTGCAGACAACAGATGTCCAAAGCGCCCAACCCGAGCGCGCAACCGCAACCGCAACCGCAACCGGGCGACACATTTCAAAACGCCCGCGGGCGCGCAACTGCAACCGCAACCGGGCGACACAT